CCAAGAGTCTCATAGTTACAAAATGGTTCTTATTGCTCACACATGTTACTTGTCTTCAATAGGAAGCTAGGCAACCAGGACAGGATCTTACCAGCCCAGAGAGCATCTCTTTGGAAGCGGAGTCCACAAAGGTGAACGTGTAAAGGGTGAAACGCTGGTAATGAGATGGGAACAGTAGTCCCGAGGCAAGACTCAGAGGCACCATATGTGTCTGATAGTTGTCCCCTGCATAAGGGCACCTGAGAAGGAGAGGCCAGCAGTGAAAAAAGTGCGAGTCATTCCCCTGACCCAAAGCTATTTACAAGTCACTTACCCATCCACCAAAACAGGCCACTGCAGCTGTTGCTGGGGATTGATACTTGGTGTGGCCCAGCAGTGGTGCAGGACCAAAACCAAGTCTGGATCTGTTCTCTGAAGGATCTTGACTTCTGCATAAACAGGGTCTCTCAGAGTCTTCACAACAGGATAGTCACTGTCAGAGTAGTAGGAAGTATAGCTTCCATCTGGGACAGAAGAAACCCAAGAGCCATTTTAGAGCAGGAACAAACAGGAAGAGGCAACCTGAGAGCATCCTTTATAGCCATGTCAGTAAGTTCCCACCATGGCAGGGAAGAAGTAGCATTGGGTTCACCCATCAATACTGCCTTATTACTCAGCAGAGACCAGAGCCCTGCACCAAGAGGCTTGAGCAAGTCCTGCAAACCTCTCATACCCAAGGCAACACGCAGGTCCAAGGACAAAGGACCTGGCTGGGACACAGCAGGCAGTGGTGGCAATGTGAAGACCTGAACACTCAAGGGAATGAAGCTCCCAGTGATGGAGTAACTACAGCGGACATGTAACCTGGTGGGACAGGAAAACCCCAAATCAGGCAGGTCACTCATATCTCCTTTCTCCAAGATGGCAACATAATATCTGCTTTAATTAGTCATATCCCCAATCTTTTCACCAATGCTTCCTTTTATCAAATACTTGAAATTCTCTTCAGAGTTTAGATTTGAGTCTGCAGAGTGTCACTGATCAGCACCAGCTTTATTCCCACTAACTAGAGACATACCAGTCCTTAGCCTACTTCAGTGCCCTGTTGTGAATTCAGAGCTTGTGACAAGCAGGAATTTCTTTAGTGACATTGAACACAGTGGCACCCAGCAATACCAGCCCCAGGGTATTACCTGAAAGTGCTATCCCTAGTGACAGAACCAAGGCTCCCAGTCTTCACATCCCTGGCTGCCACCAACTCATTCTCATATATGGCCTGGTCTCCAGTCACCTGGAATGACAGACCAGGCACTGTCACTGCAGTAAAGTCAAGCTGGATTAATGCCAGGCCGGAGAACAGCATTTGGCCTCTGGAAGCCTGTAGCGTGCTCATTAAGTAGCCAGAGCCACATCTGGTTGTTCCAGGTCTGCAAGCTCCTGCTATTCCAGCCTAGTGACAGCTGCAGCTCTTACCTGAAAAGTGGTGCCACAGGCAGAGAGTGGGAACTGGTACACAAGAAAGGCATTGTTTTTCACAACAGGGACACAGCCAGTACTGTGTCCACTGGCCAGTTGCACGGAGTCCAGGATAACAGGTGGCAGGGTCACATCCCGAGAGACAGCAATGGAAAACCGGCCATCTGGTGTGCAATGAGCTGTCACTGGAGGAAAAGATATAATCAGTCTTGAGCTCAGGGAGAAAAGGCATGGAAAGGAGGCTCAAACATCACAGCAAAGACAAGGCCAGCAAGTCCTACAAGCTCTCCTGCCTGTAACCCCCAAAGAAAGTGCTAAGCACAGCAAGACAAGTGCAACCATCTCCAACAGCAGCACTGATTCTGGCCATAAACCCAGGTCTGTTGCAATACACATGAAAGAGCTGGACACTTCAATGGGACAGAGTATTCTTGACAGCCAACAACATAGCCCTAAGCCACCTGCAGAACTGGTACACACCAATCCTGCTCTTCCAGGAAAGTGAGGAATCCCAGTTTGCAGCTCTTCCAGGAGGAGGGGAGGACAGTTGTTCATGCTTACCTGTGTTACCAAAGTAACAAGGCTTCACCCTGTCCCTAGGGTCATAGCAGCAGCCTCGCACTTCACAGTCTCCCTGGGTGATAGGCAAGGAGGCACATGGCAGCCGGTCTTGACTGAGGACAGCAGAACAGACACTACTGCTTGGAGCATCCAGGGCTGGAAGAAACAGCAAGAATTTGCAGCTGAAGCACAAGAGCAGGGGGAGAAAGACACAGAGGACACTGGTGGAAGGTGTCCTGGTGACTGCATACAAATCAAGGAAAGTTAGACTCAGGTGAGGGTCAAACACATGGCCTGGAGCTGTAACAGAAGCCTGCTCAGAAGGGACCTGCATTTCCCTGGAATAGAGACTCCCCCTGAAGCCATGTACAGGAGATTGGACTGCATGGAATCTGTCAAGATAAAGCATTCTGGATCAACTCTGGTAGTTAGGAAAACCATTGTGCATAGTCTCTGGCTCAATCCCTGAACTTGCATGGACTCATGCAGTCAGAATATGGCTAAGAGACATAAGGAACATTCACCTGCTGACCCTGCAAAGAAGGCACAAGTCCCCAGCAAGTTAGTGGCTCCTGTGTCCAAACCCTTCTCCAGGGAGTCTACCACACAGCAATAGGTCCCCTTTCCCAGTCCCCGGAGTGACTAGGAACAGCCATCCAAAAGGAAGGGCACTCATCACCACAAGATACAAGCAGGGTTCCCCACAGAGCTATCAGAGTCATACCAGGAAGGTCCACAGGACACCTGAGCAGCTTCTCTTTGTGAAGAACTTTCTGTCCAGCAGCATCTGTTCCTTCAAGCCCAACCAGCATGAGGTAACTGCCATCCTGGGGGAGAGCCACACCAATCAGGGCAGCCAGAGCAGCAGTAGCCACAGTCCCAGCAGAATCCCTAAGGTCACTCACCCATTCAAAGACATAACAGCCAGTATAGGAGACCAATACTTTCCTGGAGCCATCTGGAGTCCCAGATACTGAGAGCCCACAGTCAGAGTCATTCTGCAGAGCATACGCCTTCCCCTCAGTATCTAGGGA